CTCTGTTAACAGCCTCTTAACAGGTGTGGGTCCAAGAACCATGTAATCCTATCAAGTTACAGAGTTAAAAAAAAAAAATTCAGTCAAACAGCAAACTCCCGAGCCTCCTTTTGCTCTCTCTTGTTCTCTCTCTCCGCTCGGTTTAGTGTGTAGACTGTGACAGAACGCAACAGCTGGGCTTCAGATTTATCATGTACAGACTGTAATTATTGCTGCTGCTGCCTGCTACTGACCCAAGTGAATAGAATGTCACAGGCAAAAGCACACACAACCAGAGGATTCACGGCAGGGGAGGCTTCGAACGCAAGCACCCCTGTTTGCAGTCAATTACCAGAGAGGACAAGATATCAGCTCTGTGGCTCTCTAATGCAAACAATCTCAGAGGAAAAAAGGCAACAGGGAAGACGTTCATTTCCCTTGGTTATCATTGGGAGAATAAAAAAAAGTGAGGATTGTCTTTCAAGAAAAAAAAAAGCAAATAAGTGAATATTTTCATGACTGAGTAGATGAGAGGGAACTTGCTAATTCCACACGATAAACTTAGAGAGATGAATGCAACATGCATATGCCGTAGAGATTTGACATAAGACCACCGGAAAAGCAACGCTCAAATCTTATCGCCAGCCCCACCCCATGTGACCTGTGTGTTTGGGTCCGAGATAAGGAGCTAAAGACTGCTAGCGCACAGACAAACCATCCATCAGCTCGGGCCAATCGTTCCCTTAACTGCAATCCAGCTGCCGATCTCCGCTCCTGCCAGACTAAAGGAACTTGTCAGAGTGTAGCTGCACTCAGCCATCAAGAGCGGGTCGCGGTAGCCTCTCTAACAACCCTGCCTGAAACCTGCCTACAGGGTTGTTCACACCTTAAAGACCCCTGCCACATTTAAAAGGATTAGTCGCCACATTTTGTACCGGCTTAATCTTCCTTTCAGACAGCATAATAAGGGAGCGCCGATAAGCGGAGCATGCAAATTTCATTCGAGGCCATTGGAGCTCAAGCTTTCAGACAAACAGACTAAAGTCTTCCACACTGTGCTAATTGCTTCATATTCTTCTTTTCCCCTCTTATATGCCATATCAGCTGCCGCAGATTATTTGTCTCCCCCACTTTGCATGAAATTAGAATTTCATGTGGAAGATCATAAACGTGAAATGAAGCCATTCTGCGAGGCCCTGCGCGCAGTGGAAGATCTTTCCACAACTTTTCTAGCCATATGTGCCAAAAACAAAAAAACTCGATGTTGTGTCTGCACCGAGGGGGAGAAAATGGATCATAAAATTCTCAATCGTGTGGCACATTTGTTGCAAAAGGTGAGGTAGATAGTTCGAGATAGCAGCTCTATGAGAAGCTTTTTTTTTTTGTGAGATGCAAAACTTAAACCACAAGCCCTATGAAGCACCAGTACCTTGATAGTAATTTCTTTTTTTCTCTTTGTACAGTTGACTTTTGTTTTACTGAAAATGACACCACAACTCACCTGAACTTTAGGTTCATAACTGGATTTGCTTACAGCCAGGGAAATTACATTCTTGGAAATTGTATCATTACTCTATTCCAGCTTATTCACAAAGACGTAATACTGTGATGTATTTGTTTACATTAATACAGAAAGCCTTATCTAGTATTATCCTATTTAAATAACATATTTATTTATTTAATATATTACATAATAATTTTATATACTATACAACTAAATTATACATTTACAAAAACTGCATATTTTAAGCACATAAAACTATGCATATTTGAGATCAATTTTTTATTCCACAACCTTTTCTAGCACAGTATCAATTAGACCATTACTGTGTATAAGTGACAGAAAGGTTTTGAAGTTTTAATTAGGGTCTGGTGTCTGCATGAATGCACAGGAGGAGAGGAGAGGAGAAAAGAGCCCTCATAAGCATCCCGTTCACATGCCTAGAGATTGATCCGTTCCTGTATTAGCCTCCGTTATCGTTTGCCCAGCTGTGAGCTCGGGGACTGTTGGGGTATTAGGATGACAAAGTTAATTTTGATGGTGGGGAGCCAGTAACCGATCAGGAAACTCAAGTTAGACTCAGTCGCCCTCTCTCTGTCTTTGCAAGACTTTCTCATTCACAGAAATATATACAATGAAACAAGTAAATACAAGTACATTTACTATAGCAGTTAAGTCTACAGTAAAATGTACTGATTATTGTACATAATAAACTACACTATTAATAAATATGTAAACTTTGATAATTAAATTGAGAAAAAATAAATTTGTTGTAAAAAAAAATAATAATAATGTATGAGCTATATATATACAACATTTAAATAAATACAGCTACATATAAATAATTTAGTAAATGTATTTTTTTTGCCATATTTTAATATGTAAAAAAACTACAAATTGAAACAAAAAAAACTGTTTCAAATGACTGAAAAAGCACAATGTAAAAAATGCATTTCAGATGTCCTTCTAAAAGGAGCTCACCTTTCTTCTGTGTCATCTGTGCATGTCATCAATTATAGATTAGAATTTAAAGAATATGCATGAGTTGATATGGCAACACTGATCACCCCTTCACTAAAGAACGCTCTTGCCGCTCTCAGCGGTCGGGTGTGCCAGGGGTCCCTCAGGAAAAATAAGCATAAAAGGGGTTAAATATGATGCCTAGCATCCTCTCCCCCTTTAATGTCCCCCCTTCCAAATGTACTTCAAAACTCCGTTAATCTGCGGCACACAACATTCCCATTAGCATAGCCCAGCCTCCTCATAAAAATTCCAGCTAGTTTAATTAAAAAATGTAAATTTACTGTCATCCGAAGAGCTGCAGAATTAGGACAGCAACAGCCTTTTTTATTGCTTAAGACATCAAATTGATTCGGTTGTTGCTAAATTGTGATAAAGGTTATTGAGGGCTGCAGACCTTGGGTTGTTTTTTCCTCCTCATTTGATCCTATTTTGCAGATGAGTGGTAAAGGTGCTCAGAGTGGACAGAGGCTAAAACTGCCTTCACTCGCACAGAAGAAAAAAAAACTACTGGAGTAATAAAATAACTCCAGTCATCTGAACAGAGGGCATGCAGCAAAATGACAACGATTTAAAAAAAAAATAAAAAATCTCGGGAGTGTCTCATTTAGAATAAGAATAAAACAGAAAGCAAATTGTGATCCTGTTAAAAAATGTTTCTGATAAATATGACGTAACTAATCTGAAGCCCATTCTGAAAGTTCAAGAGATGCCTTTTAAAATAATTTATTTTCACTTAGTTTAATTTCATCTTTCACCATTTATCATTTAGAACAAACAAAGAAAAAAAAAAGTTTCTTGCCTGACGGCATCAAGACATGAAGATATCGCATCAAAAAACTCGCTAAAATTATTGATTGGATTTTTCAGTTATGACAAAACCTACTTTTGGCACTGGAAAAATTCACTGATGTATGTGTCTATTTATTTTCCAAGCTAAAAAACAAATCGTGGTTATTGACTAGTAAAACAACCAGTCCTATTACAAAACTAAAAAAGAAACATTTTGGAAAAAGCAAAAATATGTTTTTAATTTAACATAAAATATCTATTTTTTTTAATAAATAAACATATAGCAGTTACACACCACAATTTATAATCAAATAAGTGTCAAAGTGACGTCTAAAACTCTACCTAAAAAGCATCGAGTGAAACACATGGAAAGCCAATCAAACAAGTGTGTGAATAAACACTACAATTCTGGCCTAAATTAAAACTATTAAAAAAACAAATAAGTTTAATTTTCCAGGAACTCTATTTAAGACTAAACTGAAATAGAAATCCAACAAACTCAAACCACACATTACAAACTAACTATGCTAGAACAGCAGCATTTATTTCAGGAACATATTGCCATTTCTGATTTTATAATAATAATATCTGAAGCTCCAAAAGCCAGATTATTTGGTGATGAAATTAGGAAATAGGATGGGACAGTATGACTGATATAAATTTCATAATATCCATAAACGGAGGAACAAGGAAAACGGAGAGGGATATCATTTGTTCTGTGTGCCCTTACATGTGTCACAACAACGCTACTACAGCATCTTGTTTACTCAGTCCCCTTGGCAACAAACCCCTAGGCCACACCAGTCACTTCACTAATATTTTTACATGCCTATTTATGTTTATGCCACATCGGTGCTTCCATAAAGTTATATCAGCATCAACAACAACAACAACAACAACAACAAAAATCCCCTGAACTCAGACAAACAAGACTGCTTTAATAAACACAGATATATGAGTTTCAAACATCGCCACTCCAAAAGCCAGATTATTTGGTGATGAAATTAGGAAATAGGATGGGACAGTATGACTGATATCAATTTCATAATATCCTTAAACGGAGGAACAAGGAAAACGGAGAGGGATATCATCTGTTCTGTGTGCCCTTACATGTGTCACAACAACGCTACTACAGCATCTTGTTTACTCAGTCCCCTTGGCAACAAACCCCTAGGCCACACCAGTCACTTCACTAATATTTTTACATGCCTATTTATGTTTATGCCACATCGGTGCTTCCATAAAGTTATATCAGCATCAGCATCAACAACAACAACAACAACAACAACAACAAAAATCCCCTGAACTCAGACAAACAAGACTGCTTTAATAAACACAGCTATATGAGTTTCAAACATCGCCGAACGCCTGTAGGTAAGAGTGATACACTGTGTCTAAATAACAAATAAACTTGACTACTTCCAGGTTTAAAATGAAAGTAGTCTACTTAAATTCTTCCCCTCCTGAGAGGCACGAGTAAAGTAAGAAAAGAAAACACGGGACTCAGGGACAGAGTGATCGTATTAAACACTGCCATCTTCTCAGGGCTTGTCGCACAGTTATAAATAAAGGTACAGTAAACTCACAGCGACGATATGCGGCACTTAAAACAACTTCCCTGTTCAAGACATAATGAAATTATAATAATACATTCACTTATGGACACACACTCACACACACAGAAAGGTTAAAGAGGAGGGTCACTTACCATATTCAGGGTAGTCGAAGTTAAATCCTGTCAAGCATGTAACTTTCATAATATTACTCAACTCTGTTTGAAAATCATCAGATGTAAGCTGGTCTGTGAGAAAAGGAAAACTAAAAGAAGTTGACAATAAACGCCTTTTTTGCTCTCAATCATGTACTAAACGCCTTGACATGTAATCTGTCAATAGTTTGTTGCAGAGATAATGCCGGCTGCCACGAGTGAGGTTGATTGGCAGCTTGGCTTGGCTCCTCCCTTCTGTGGTTTGACGTGGGGTAGGTGAGAGAATACAGAGCCGGCCCCTTCCTCGACTGCTCCTCCTGCCTTTCTCTCTCTCCCTCTCTCGGTCTACGGTTCTGCTCCTGTACACACGCACACACACCAAGCAGTTGGCGATGTCTGAATAGGCAGATAGGAAATTACAGCAGTGGAGGAACCTGAGCCCACTTTTTTCCTCCCCTTAGTGGGCTGGCCTTCCCATCTTTGGGCTCTTCTAGCCTTTCAAATCTCTCGGGGAGGAGCCTTCCACGATTCCATGAAAATGAGGAGGGAGGGAAAACTCAAAGGCTCAGAGAAAATATCAAGCTCATTAGATATATCAGTCAGACATTTTTGCATGCGATTCTGATGATAACAGCACGCCCGTTTTAAAATGAACAAAGTGTTCTGGTTTTTGTTTATCTCGCGTTGTGGGAAAGACCCTCTCTGGCCTACTGTGCATTTGACTATCGCAGTTCATTTTATGAGTGTTATTTACTGAAAACAGGAAGTTTGCGGAATATTGCAAAAAAAAAAAGCATACCAGCAAATTCACGTGTGTAAAACTAGGGTGGCTATATAAAAGAAAAAAAAAGGTTAGTATCAGGTACATTTTATTGCATATTTTAAAGTTTCCTCATAATAAAAAAAAACAGACACCAGTATTGAACAGTGCTCACATGGTGAAGTAACCTTATCCTCGGAACAGTTGGTTGTATATTACGAGGAAGGGAAAAAAAGAGAAAAACCTACATGTCCCATCCCCCGTTCTCTTCTTCTCCCTCCCTTTTTCCCTCCTTCTCATCTTCATTCATCTTTGCCTGCTCTCTATGTGCTTGTCCCTCTGATAAGGTATCAGTTTTCATTGTAATTTCAGGTGAAATGATAAACGGCAGCCGTTACCAGGTGACAATGAATACTTTATAAGACAAAGCCCTTATTTGCCTGGCAGTTTCTTCCGCTGTGGCATGCAAAAGCGCACCCGGACAGCATATTTTCAGCATATTTTCTATCTAAACACAGTCGAGTTTGGAAATATTTTCATTTGCAACTTGAACCGCAAATGATGTGAGTAAACACAAGGCAGGAAGTGCCAAGTTTTGGCCAAAACAAAAAGAGCTTAATTTCTTGAAAGCACTGAGAAATAAGGCCAATAAAATGGGGAAATGCATATTCTGGGTACTGTCTCATAACTGTGAGAAATGAGTCAATCTCAAGTTCCTGTTTGCTAACTGTTACATCTCATTTGTGAGCATAAAACAGGTTTTGGTTGATTTAGTGATTATGTGGATGACTCATAAAGCAACAATGGCAAAATGTTCCCACCTTAAACTCAATAATCCAGAAGGGAAGAGCAGCAGATTCAGTCATCAGATATCTTCGAGACGTTCCGGATAAAACCCAAAACACACAAAATATCAGCAGCCACGCCACACCTATCGATCTCTGCCAACTTCATAAAAGTTTTGCAACACAACAACATAATGCAACCTTTATGTGCAGGATGTTTTGGAATTAGTACAGCAACACGTGTCGAGCGCATTCAAAGCGCTGACTGACACCGTAACAAGACGCGCAAGGAGCGCGCACCGATCCGGCGGAATGCTTTGTACGGTAGCGAACGGCCAGCGGTCGCAGATCATTTTTCTTTTCGCTGCCATTTCTGTTTCTCGGAGAGGAGCTGAATGGCGTTTGATGTGGCCCATTATGATGGTATGCTCAGGGCATGGGGCCGAGCGGGGAAGGGGGACTGTGACATGGCAGGGCTGCATCTGTCAAAGGGATGCAGGGGCCAGACGTTTAGCTGCCCCTGACCGCGCACTCCAGGAGGGGCTGGTCTGGTCCAAACGCCTCGCTCCGCCGGGACAAAAGCCAGCGCCCAGTTGAAAGATGTGAATTGAGGGGCTTTTGTGCCTAGGGCCCGGGGCCATGCGGAGTGAGAAAACTGACCTTTGCTGGGAGTTAGATTGTGTTTGAACCCTCTTGCTGTCTAAGCCAGTGGGACGGCACACAGACTGAGTGGACAACTGTGAGGTGGAGGGCGTCACAAAAAAGAAAAAGAAATAAAAAAAAAACAGAAAAGGGAACATCACCAACACCACCATCATCATCTCTCTGGCCTGAAAAAGGAGCTTTCCTACAGAGGTTTAAAATGGAGTTTTTTTCCCCTCTCAAATCTCAATTGTGAAATTGACAGGAAATTGAATATGACAAATCTGGAGTCTAGTGCAGTGGCTTGAAAAGAAGGCCTGAGAAAGCATTTGCCCTTGTATTGTTCTAGCGAAGCCTGTGATGTTGGATATTATTCCCCCTCACGTCTATTTGGATAGCATTATATATTTATTTTTCCCGGGGCAAACGTATTGCATACCAAAATGTGAGCGTATCTCCAAAATGAGAGGTCAGAAGTTACTTATCATAAACTAATTGGCCGACTTGTGGCGGTGATCTTTATAATGAAAATATCTTTATTAAATTAGTCTATCATCATTATGCAAACAAATGAAAATGTGCCTGGGGGGAAAAAAAGAGGTTAAAAATGTTCCTGGAGCAAAGAAAGGTGCACGTGTATCTAGTGGTAGGCTGACATGTCCAGTTCACTTAAAAAGCATTACTTAAAAGTCTAAACATTTGTCTTGATGCAGCTTTCATCCCCTGCCTGCCATCATTACATTTCAGTATCTCTCCCGGATGCAACCAGTCATAATGTAATCTTCCTAATTTCGGTCTCTCGCAATCTGGTTTTAAAAGGGAATGAGAGAAAGGGCCACATTTCTGAAGGCCCTGACCATAATCATTTTAGACAGATAGCTTCTCCCATCGCAGATGAGCAAATATTTGTAAACTAGCTATCTAATGGAAAATTATAGTGAAATTAGAGCGAAATTCACGACAGAGAAATCTGATTACCTCTAATTTTATTATGCCATCTTAGCCCACACAGCATATTTTTGTAGAGTTTTTTTCCATAAATACCTATGCCAGGGGTCCCGGTAATCAAATAAAATTGAAATTCATCTCCCCATTAAATTCAATTAGATGCAATTTCAAAAGCCTATCAAAGATTTTAATTACTAAATTATAAAAGTCTCTAAAGCCAAATTGGGGAAGAAAAAAGTACATCCTGCATCAGAGGGGGCAGGAACGTAAATGTAAATAAATGAACACGACTCAAAATAAAACCAGCAGAGGAAATTGCCGATCCAAAAAAGATATCCGACGGAAAATAAAATTAACCGAGCAGAGGCCTTATTCAGCGGTTCTGAGTGGAAGAGTGACGTGCAGCCAGGACGAAGGACTCCTGGACCAGAGGAAATGAACTTAGCTGAGGTACGCTCTGCTTCTAAACGTCTGCCCTCCGAGTTATTACGCCATAATTGACTAATTGACACCTTAATTTCATTTATGGGCTCCTGCATTGAGGAGTCAACCTCTGGGTATGGAGGTGGTCCAGGAAGAGAGCAGCGAGCCAGCATCCTGTGTGCAGGTGGATCCGAGCCCTGCTCTCCCCCTAGACGCCTCGATCACGAGTACGATAATTAAATGGCAAAGGGAAACATATTGACTGAGCAAATGCTTGCGGAATTCGCTCAAATCCGCCGTACCTGCTAACGATGACAGCTGCTGGGGTTCAATCATGCGTGCGCAACCAATATCCTCGCAACTTGCCTCATTGGGCATCAATTTGTTTCCCTGCGATAATTCTTTTTGCTAGAATACGTGATAAAGGCTGTTTTTCTAGGTGATGTGAAATGCGCAGCTTAAATTATGTTTGCCCACCGAAAGCTCTGTATATCATGACACAAATTCATAAACAGTACATTTGCTTCGGACTTACGGATGAACGGGTTTCGGAGTGCCGTGCTGTGATGCGTAGAACCGACTCTTTTAAAGTGACATCAAATGCTGCTGCTACCTTTCCACAAAAGTGCTCACAATGGGACAGTAGAGGGGTCTCGGGTCGCCTACTAGGCCCGATTCCCAGCCACCCCCTACTCCACGCCAATGGGCGGCTAAAACAACAGCACAGCAGCCTCTGAGGACTACAAAGCTCCGTCTGAAAGGACACCTGCTGCCTTTATTCACTTAACGCTCTTTAACTGCTCCCTGTGTTTGTTTGAAAGCCATATCCTAAAAAGACAACCTTCAGGCACTGGATTGGGCGATGATGAATTAGATAAATATTGGCATTAATTGTTGCTAGACAAACATCTTGCGTCTGAGAGAGAGAGTGGGTGTGGGAGAGTGCGGCTTCTGGAAGACTCTGCCCGATGCCGAGCCGGGATCTGATAGAAGAGGCTCGGTAAATATTACTAAACTGAAACTTTAATCTGCTTTTTTCCACACTCAAGCTGGCTGGGTATTAAAGCTAATCTTTTTTGTGTGTCATATGGTGGGCGATATGGATGGAGCTAATTTTTAGAGACAAATCTGATATTTGTCAACTGGTTGGAAAAACCTGGGGATTTTCCACTAATCCTCCCACGGATGTGAAGGAGCGTTAACAGCAAAATGCAGATGGTGTAGAGCTCTCAGTACCCAGTCCAGACCTGAGTCAGCCTCGGAACGACTTACTGCAAACCTGTGCTAACAGCCCGAGCACCTCCCGCGGCTAGTTACCAAAGCGGCTAGCGTGTTTTTCTACACTGCAGTTTTCTCGCTGTTTATTCTCTATTCTTCCCCGTTGTTTGCCTGGCTACTTCCTATGCAATTATTAAAAATGCAACACTGAGCTAACTTTACAACTCTTGCTTTTTCTAATATGGAGACAAGGAAAAAATTTAATTTAAAATGTAACAAATCTTTAAGGACGCCAACTACAAACCCACTGGGTAATTTTCTTGTTTACCTTTCCAAATTAAACTCTTTCCATTCCTCTGTATACTTTTGAAAACTTTAGAAAATAAGGAAAGTCGTTTGAGAGCTGGATCAAAATTTTGATTAAGGATTACAAAACATGCACCAATGAATTGTTCACAATAAGGCCAGGAACACAGTAAGAAAATAATCTATCGCAGAGGTTAAAGTGCAGTCCACTAAAAAGGCAGTTCGTTATTGATTTCATTGAAGCATTAGAAAGAACAATCTACAAATAGAAGTGTTCAGGAGGAAATTAGCCTTTAAAGCTCTATTTAAGGAACAGTACCAACATGGCAGTTCACATAAAGAAAAGGCTTTTTAAGAAGTTAA